CCGAGAGGCTAACAGCTGTTCGCAACAACTCTGAGTCGAACTCGCGGTGGTCGCGCCCGGAACGATTTTCTCGAGAAACGGGGTCTACAACACGCGTCAATCGCCCTGCTACCGAACCCCGCGACGTTCCTCGAAGCCGACTTGCTGTCGCTTCCTGCCTCTCGAAAACCACCGACTCTTTTGCCCCGCACCCCGTCCAATGCACCGCGAGAACAACGGAAGGGTCTCTTGCCCTTCGACCACTTACGCACACCATGCGCTTCTCTTTTCTTTGTTCTCTGGCCGCTTGGACGCTTGCGATACGGCAACTTTCTTGAAATTTCGCTCCGCCATTTGAATACATTCCTCAAACGCGTCGCGATTTTTGCCTGCCTGTTTTTACGGCGCTTTCTCCGTTTTGCACGTCTCTTGGTGCCGTCTACGGAGCCTTTCGCCCATCTCTGATGCTCACCAGCACCCACATGCTCATCTGATTTTTCGCGCGGACTGTCTGGATAATTGCCTAGCAATCTATCCTTCAAACACTGCCGCGTACGATGCGCTTTTCTTTTCCGGCGGTTCGGACGCACACGATACAGACCCGTCAGAGATGACAACGGCACTTTTCCCGCGATTTTACCACGCCGTTTGAAACCCTTACTCAAACGCGTTGTGCTCATCTCGAGCTTTGCCTTATTGTTGCCCTTCGGACGCTTTCTCCCCTGTGCACGCTTCTTTGTGCGGACCTGGGAGCCTTTCGTCCTACTCTGACGTTCTTCATCACCGATATGCTCCTCCGCCATCTCGCGCGCCCAGTCCTGATGATTGCCTATCAGTTCATCGTAAGACCGCGGCCGCGTAGATTGCGCACTTCTGTTCCTTACTCTCCGGCCGCTCAGACGCCTGCGATTTAAGCCAGTCAGAGAAGACAACGGGCCTTTTCTCGCAAATCCGCCACGCCGTTTGAAGGTCCTCGTCAAACGCGCCGCGCTGATCGCGAGCCTTGCCGCGCTTCTGTTTTTCGGACGCTTTCTCCGTTTGGCACATTCCTTGGTGCCAAACCTGGAGCCTTTCGTCCGCCTCTGACGCTCATCAACATGGTCTACAGGGCTGCAAGGTTCGATGGAACACTCTGTTAATCTTAACTTCGTTTCCCCCACCACGGAACCCTCACACCCTGCTGTGACCGCGAGCTCTTTTCCCTCAGAATGGGTTAAAACCTGTTCCATTCCCTTACAGGCACTAGCCTTCTCTTTGGCCTCAAACGGCACCGCCGCTATATCTACAGATATCAGACCCGCAGCACTCTCTTCGGCCCTAAACGGCACCGCTGCTGAAACGCACCGTTCGTGCGGTACATCTGCAAATTTCTGACCTGTAGCCCTCTCTTCGGCCTTAATCGGCACCGCCGCTACGTCGCACCGTTCGTGCACTTCATCTACAGATGTCTGACCTGTAGCCTTCGCTTCGGTCTTAAACGGCACCGCCGCTACATCGCACCGTTCGTGCGCTACATCTATGGATTGACCACTCTGCTGCAATGCCACCAATTCACAATTAAGCCTTTCTATCTCTTCATCTAATTCCTGCATCCTTTTTATATGTTCTTCATGCCTGCGCTCAGCTTCCAATTCCTCCTGGCGCCATCTTTCCTTTCTTTGCGCCCTTTGTACTTCCTCCTTCTGGTCCAATAAGTACATATTCCTGAAGTGCTCGATTTCCTCATTGTCACTATTGCTTTCGAGAATCACTTCGCGGAGTTTAGAAGCAGGCATATCATCATTAAAATCTAGCTCCAGATCCCAACACAGGTTCAGCAGGTTCTCTCTCGTCAATCTCGTAAGATCCATGGCGACTACTTTGCTTTGGCTCAGCTGTGACAAAACACCAACCCACCAGCGCTTCAATTCTGGGTCTAGAGAAATTGAAGCCTGGCAAATCTCACAGCGGAGACCACAAGCTTAAGCACCCAAGTAGCACTACGTGGCCAACATCCCTCTCTACTTTTTCTTGTTAATTTTTCACTCCTGCTTTTTACAACATCCTAAAATTTAACCCGCAACGTACCCTTAGAAATTTTGAAACATTACCCCTTGTTCCTATTGAATCATCTAAGCTTTCCTGCTTTAGCGTACTTGCTCAGATAATCATCCAGTGCTGCCTTGTGCTGAGATAACAACCACAGTGGCCAGGCAGTTGTTGGTTATATCTATCTTTTAACGAATTTAGGCTAAAAGACTCGATATATCTCAAGCACAAAGCCAGGCACTCACCCCATTACGTGCGGTGGTGGTACGCTGCTTCGATCCCGCCGAGTTCCAGGGCTTTCGGCTGGCCTCCGGTACATGTCGCTCTCCGTCGCAGACTCGTATCCCACCGCTGCCAACCAGTTGTTGCGACCGGGGTTTCCAGACACCGGAGGTCCGGGATGAAGTTGTCGAGGCAGGAGGAAGAGAGACTTGAAGAGGGTTTATTTACAATATGTACATTGCGAACTCCCTACACGGTGAGCTCTCAAACGTGGCAGGCCTCTACATGTCTCCTAACATAGCGCTACATGGTGCTTGGTTCTACATGGTTCTGCTCGGTTCTGCTCTCGAAAAAAAAGCACACACGAATGAGCCGTGGGGGCTCATTATAAAGGGTCTGTCCTCCCCAGATCCCTAGATCGGGGACCGCGTACAGAGGGCACCGTCCAACCACGGATCACACATTACCCGCGAGGGTGACGAGCACGCACGGTCCACGTGAACGTTCAAAATTGAAGCGTGGTCACTGCACGGCCATGTGGCACGAACGTGGCTCCTCCTCGTCAAGGGGTGTCGCTGGGCGAGGGGTCTGAAGTTGATGACTGCATCCATCGAAAGGGCCGCCGTAAACAAGCTTCAAATGGTCGCCGAACGACTCGTTCAATTAGCGGGACGATTTCCGGCCGCCGCCGCCGCCGTCATCTTCCAAAGAAGAAGCGGCACTTGTGGTCTCCCGAACTGCTCACGGTGTCGTGGCGGCAAGACGCCGCACCCTCCGGCCAGGGGGGAACAATACATGGCGGACACAGGCCGCCAGCCCGTTTGGCGACTAAAAAAGGAACATCAAAAGGAACGCCGATCCATTGTCAGACCTGGCGCCGGTCCTAACAGTAGGCAGCCGGTCGTTCGGTTACTTGTTTGAAGATTAAAGGAGCGCCGCTCCCTCTTCCGCTCTGGCGCCGGTCACAACAACGGCTCATAGCAAGTGTACCGGAGCAAACGAAGAACGCGTCAAACAGGACGAGGCCGTTGATGTGTGCCTTTACCATGTTTGTAAACAGCGGTAGGTGCCGTCGACATACCGAGGTGCTTGTATAGCCGAAAGATCGCCAACTATGATAGCGTCACAACTGGCTTCCCGACGCGCTGTGCTCGGAGGCAGCTTTCCAGCTGCTGTGCCAGTAGTCACGTGGTCATAGAGGGTGAGGGCGAGCCTTGGGCTGGGCGGAGCCTGCGCTCCGCGATGTTGCTACAATCAGTTGCGATCGCCTCAGTATGTTGACGGCGCCTACCGTTGTTCACAAACACAGCATGGGTCTAAATGTGCTCGCAGCCTCGTCACCATCAAAACAAATGGTACGTGGCATGACCCGAGTGTGTCGGTGGCGGTGGCCACAACAATGCATCGAGTGTTCGGAGACACGAGGTCGACGAACTCGGCGAATGGGGAACAGCCGACCCGATCCAATAATGATGCCCTCCAGCTCCATTAGCCTCCGTCAATAAGCTCTCCAGAGGGGAGCGGAATGGCGCCCGTGAGCGCTGACATGAATTCGGGAAAAACGAACCGCAGATAGCGCTGTATTGGCAGAATTCGATGGTCGGACTGTTTTGGCGCCGCATTTCTAGATTTGGTTGACGCTTGTCTAAAATAAATGCGAGTGAAAAACAATTGTCCTGCGTATTCATTCTAATGTCGTTAAGTTTTTATATCCGCGAGTGGTTTAGAAATTATCATTGCTATAGGCTGTTCTTTGTTTTATATATATCTTGAACGAAATGAATACTGCAGCGAAGGCAGTGATTGGAAACTAGTGTTTGCCACTTCTGACCACAAGAACTTGAAAAACAAAAGCATAAATTTCTTCAACGAGACTTAGGTCATCCTTAGCATCTCTTTGTGAGAGGTGTACACACGAGCAGTGGTGTATTTTGCCTCGTTTTTTTTTTTATAAAATCTTCACCTGTAGTTGTACCACGACGTCACATATCACTGCTCATCCAGTGCGCCCATTTATGTGTCTCCGATCACGTGATTCAGTTGCAATATGAGTGTGCCTTCTAATAAACTTAACGCTTGATTATTGTAATGCTGCCTGTTCGTCATGTCATTTCACAGATAGCACGTGAAGCTGTAACATTCTGGTCTAACACCTCGAACATTCGCTCCACTCAGCATCTGTATATCTACGAAGTACTGGGCGACATGCTATAGAGTCGTAACCACGTATATCAAACTCATTAAGGAACAGGACCTAGTTAGATACATCGTATGGTAAAAGATAAAACCTCTAAAATAATTACATACTTTCTATTCAAATATTTGTGCTCAAGCGGGCTTCCCGAAGCCGCTTCGTGATAATGCAATGGAGGTGGCTTAGGACAACACTAATAGTTTTTTTAGTTCTATCACTTATTTATTTTTTGTGCAGTTCGCAGGGAGGAGGGGGGGGGGGGGTATACACAAGGGCGTGTTGTAGGCGATAAAGTGCGGTATTGATACAGACTTCGTAATTTTATTGCTTGTTCTCTCAAATGCACGCGGGAAAGTCCCCTTTAGTGAAAAAAAAAAGCCATCTTCTTGGGAGGGAAAGACAACTTCACATGGCTCCCTCCCCGTGTTCGATACGCCAAGTGTACCGGCTAGTTTTGTTCTATACAGCCGTAGTTTTCCTATAATTCGATATAAAGGATAATTTGATTTAGCCGGGTTCGCTGTAGCCTGGCTGGACTGTAGTTAGGCAGCATGGGAGCAGCGATGTCTCGACTCACCTTCGAGTCCGGCGAGGACTTCTTGACGACCTGCCTGCCACGCAGCTCGACGTGGCATAGCGGTGGCGATGCCTCTCGCTTCCGCTGTTCAGGCGACGCCTTGGCCGAGGCCGAGGCCTGCCGCCGGAGCTCGTGGAATCGCGCCACCTTGACTTGCGACGGGGGCGGCCGCCGACCAGCCGCGGACTGGCGAGCCGCGTCGTCCGCTTCGTCGTCGGTGGTGGCCCCCTCGTGCACGCAGCACAGGCCGCCCCGAGACAGCTTGGGGCCGGCCGAGGCCAGCCGCGCCACGCTGCTCGACTGCTGCTGGGAACAGGACGTCGCCGACTGTGTCGTGCCGCTCCTGCTACCGCCTGCGGTTCTATTCAGAACACCGGCCGTGGCTACCACGCTTGTGAAGCGAATGACATTTGTTTAAATGCGATCTTCGCTACTGCTGGTGCCACACTACGTCTGCACACGGCTACCGCTTCACGTTCACTCTCGATGCCACTTGTGCTTTGCTCAAAACGATGGCAGTTCAGGTCGGGGCAAAAGCACGTGACGCAAGCACTGCTTATATAACTGGACTCTAGCGGTTGCTCTTGGTTAGTGCCGAATGTTTTTGTTCCCCGCCAAAAACAGTCTTCCGATTGTTCCTCCACAACTCTCGTTCAATAAGGTGGAAAAAATCCTTAGCTGCCGAATTGGTGCCAGGTGGGGTTTTCTCACGAGCCTCAGAAGCCGTGCTACCGCACTGTGGATTGAAGGCTTCTGAGCACTGCTCGGGTGGAAGAATTTTCTGTTATTCTACTGACAGGCAAAGGCGAAGCACCAGTGACATCAAGTGCATTTCCGTGTTGCTGACTCTGGGAGTAAGCCGAGAGGGTGGAGTTGCTGCCACTGTTTACAGAACAGAAGCGTCTCCTCTTGGAGCGACACCAGAAGACGGGAAGCGACACATTTGACTCAAAGATGACATGCACACATGCACACAAGCACTCCAAGTTTCCCCAGTCCTCTAGGTGCACCAAGCTTTTTTCTTGACACGGGAGTCGATAGGCAATCATCAACAAGAGCGACGTCAACACCAGCACTTTGGGGGCAGTTCCGCTCAGTCTGTGACGCTGTAGTTCCTAATTCCAGAAGAGGCGGGACGAAGGCGCTGCTAAAGTGTCAGCTGCACGGACGATGACAGAAACGTGCCCTGTCGACGTCAAACGTTTATCTGACACTGCGCGCTGTCTTCAAAGCCGTTGCAGGAAGCGCTAACCGAAAGCGCCTTCGAAAGCGGAATGCAAGCTGGAGCAGAACAGCTGGTCTGCTTCAGCGGTTGTGCTCTGACCTCTGCGGAGACTCGGGAGGGGCGAAAGGCCGAATGGCTTGCACCGGACTCTCCGAAAGAGCGGCGGCGACTCCGGCGCGGCGCTAACACCACGCCTCTCGGCGCGTAGCGCGACGTTGGGACAGACTCGCCAGTTGTGGTGGTGTTGCGCCCTCGGCGAGCGATCGACACAACACTCGCTGCACCACGCGGCTGGCAAGCTTCGCTTTTTTAGAGCCACCGGAAGGCTCCCGGGTGATTGGCGTCACATCCGCCGTCCGCGGCGGCGGGCCAATAAGGCGCCGAGAGCGCGGCGACTCCAGCGCTTGTAGCGCTCGCGCTTCTCTCGCCTTGCGAAGTGAGAGAAAAGCGCGCAGACGGGCGCACACTGGCGCCCAGTTAGGCGGCGTGCCAGAGCTGCGTCGTCGGTCGTAAAACGGCCCATCGCGAGCCTACTTGCACTGAGGAGAAGCGTGCTTATTTTTTCCTAACTGTAAGTAATTGGGGGAGGTATTGGCACTTTTTTATATCGCCGACTACTACTTTTTGCTGACAAAAGAATTTGTGAGAACCACAACAATAGAACTAAATACATGAAGGAGCACTTTCGGCGAGTCCATGCAAGCCAGTCAAGCCAAGCAAAAAAAACTCACACATTCCCGTAATGTATTCACACGGCGACACACACACACACACACACACACACGAGAGAGAGAGAGAGAGAACAAAATATTGTTAAGCCACTGATCAGTTCACCAAGAAATGCATTCACACACACACACCGCTTATGCTGAAAATAACATTACACAATGTCCAGTGACGTAACACCAATAGGCAAAGAACAGTCACAGGGACGCCTTGTTATGCAGAAAGCACCGATTACGAATATTCTCGCATCTTCTCTGACTGAATTTGAAAACCAAGTGTCGCGAAACCCGATCACATGCTCGACGTTCTTAGAGAGTCAGGACATTATGCCACAGAGCACGGACACAAAGACGCGTAATAACAAATCTGTTGAACGTGGTGTGCGCGTTAAAGATTAGTTACAGACATTTTTCTGGTTGAGAACAGTATGTTCTCGTCTACGGATGGAGACTGTACCTGTTGCTCATAAATTGAGATACGCATATAATAGCGCTCGCGTTAATCATTCTTACTATCGACGTCAGACGAATGGCCTGAACGAGTAGAATGAATGACGTTCGACTACCTTAAGAAAAATAAGATGCATAAATGTAGTTACACTTTCTCCAAAATTTCTGTGGTTTGGTGCGTAACACTACTCTGGTAAGGGCATTTGGATGTTTTAGTGCGATTTGGAAACAATACTTCGTAGACTAATGGTTAGTCTTAACGGACGACGCTCCACAGGGTTTAGATCCCTATTCTATCATGACTACGTGTATTATAACGTTAATATGTATCATGTTCAACTGTGCATAATCTGAAAGCGTCGTATGGCACAATACGGTGTAGTTTGTAATAATGATTTTAAATGATACACCACCTCGCCAGCGTGCAAAGGGCGCGTTCACCGTAGTGTAATTTATGCAATATGCGTTTTGGTTTATAAATTCTCACTTCTTTTCAGCCTCCAAGTGTTTTGCGCCCTCAAATCCTGCCTCCTGATCTGCCTGAAATTCATGCAGAAACTCTTTAAAATTACACCACCACTTGAATCAACTTTAGCGACAAAATAAAAGCGTTAGTCGTACTCAGCAGCAATGACTTCGACTTTTAATTACTTACTGTTATTTCGTTTGCTCTTGTCACACGTCGTCCTCCTCATCTAGAGTATCCTGCTAGTACTACAACACTACGCATGTACCAAGTATCCACTGAGATTGTCCTCCACACAACTTCTATTCGGAATGAAACTGCAAAAAAAAAAAAAAGCGGTCAGCCTATCCTTTGCTGCTCCCTTTTATATCGCTTTCGCGCAACACATTTTATCGTATTTATCGTACATATTTTAATCAAGCGATGTTTCGATTGTTAGCTTGCTAATCACAAGGACGTTTTGCTAAGGCACCAAGCCAGCCATACACTTTTCCTTCTCCATTTATGATGGCTGCGCATATACTTCCCCTCTATGTTTCCCCTTCCCGAAAGAACAGGCAGGCGTTGCGCCCGTCTAGGCGGCAGTTGCCAGCCTGTTTCTCTGCCTAATTGCTGGCATCATATTTTTACGCTAAACAATTCAGTCGGTGAAGAAGCAATCACGTTCGGGTTGTCATTGAAAACTCTGTGTATACGTTCGATGGGCATGCCTACCAAGAAATTAACGTGACGCCTCACTCTTGTATCTATCGTACAAAAAAGATTACACACACACCCACATATATATATATATATATATATATATATTCTCATTTTGCAATATATTAATTAAGTTTGTGCTATAGCCATTAGCATTCTACTGTGCTTTCCATCGTGTGAATTAACTTAAGGCTATTTATGTAAAGCTCATCGAATAAAGCCATCGTTTGTCATCACAGCTCATCGACACAAACTGTGGCTTACTGGGTCTTCGAAGCTGCTTTTTCTGTGAGGTACCAGAGTGTGCGGTAAAACAAACTTTTTGGCACGAAGTAGCATTTCAACGCAAGTATTTCACGGCTAGTTTTTGGTGATTTAACGAGAACGGACATACGTATTATTGTTCGATTTTAGGATATATGAAGTGGCTGTTAAAAAAAAGAAAGAAAATTATGGCAGCTACACGCTAGCGGTGAGAACGCTGGGGTAGCAGCATAGCTGGTAGGATTCCCCCTCCTCACCCCACCCCTTCCCATTCCCACAGCGTAGGGTAGCAAACCGAGCATGTGCCTGGTTAACCACCCTGCCTTCTCTCTTGTTGTTTCTGTCCTCCTCCTCCTCCACCCGAACTTTCTCACTTTTCTCTCTTTCTCCACTTTTCTTCTGTTTTTCGGTCTATCTTTTTTTTCTTCGTTTGCCACTGCTTTCTCTCTAAATCAGCAATTCTCACTTACTCTCTCTCTTTCGCTCTATATATCTTTATCTGTGTTTGATTAGCTCTCTTTCTTTATGTCTTTCTCTTTATAGTCTCTTTCTCTTACTTTCAAAGGTATGTTTTGGTCCAATGTGGTTTGAGGTGCACAGTTTTAATGACACACAGTTCTAACCCGACGCAAAATGACGCAAAGTTTTAACGCGAGAGCATTAAACAGCTTGTTTTGCGAAAATTTCGGCGTCGGTGTCGGCGTCGTTGGTTGTGAAAAATCGAGTGAAAAATCATCTTGTCCTTGACTGAAATATTAAAACTTGAAATAAATAATAAAGCATTTCTAGTCCAAGTGATGATCGAAGCCAAGCCGCCCGCTTGGCAAGCAGCAGTTCCACGACAGAGCCACAATATTTGTTAAATCTGCGTTTTAAAAAAAGCACTATATGAGTACCACGTAGTGAAAGGGTTCTCCTCAACGCATCATATATTGCGTGGCAGACGCGCAGAATTGCGCCAGGCATAAAGACATGTGAGTTCAACAATGAGCGGGTGGTATTAAGGTGCACCCATTACAAAAGCGCTTGGAAATATTTAATCGTCATCAACAGCAGATCCATTCACAAAGTTGACAGCTGCGTAGGTTCTCGTGTTGCCCTACGGACGAGCAGTGGGCGCTTCGCCGATTCGCAAAAGAAATAATTCTCACTTAGGGTTCACTTGACAACTGTGCTTTCAATAGGCATTTAGTGATGCTTTGTAACTGACAACGTTACGGGGCCAGTCGTTCGTTTTCTAATGACATGGTTGAGACATGCACCGAGAATCGAAACTAGCTAGTATAGTTCAGGAGCCGATTCCCACAATGGCTGGTTACACTATCGCAATCTGCGCTTGAAGGCGAAGCAGGATACGCTATCGCAATCTGCGCTTGAAGGTGAAGCTGGTTACGCTATCGCAATTTGCGCTTAAAGGCGAAGCTCAAGCGTCTTCCCATTTGTTTTTATGCACTTTTTTCGCAGCAATGAAGAGTGTGCGATAAATGAAGAATTAAACAAGATCAGTGGAATGAAATATATCAGGCAGTTGCATACGTGCGTGATTTCTAAGCTCTCAACGGTGTAACGGCCAAGGTCAGCTTCG